TCAGTGCCTGAACCATAATGAGTGCCATTTTTAGAAGCCTGTAACTTCTCTTCCATTTTAAACAACAAACATTTATTTTTACTAAACACCGAGGGAATCCAAAACGTCAGGAAAATAAGCCTCTTGTTCCAGTGATCGCTTCTTCTTCTTCTGATTCTCTAAATCATTGCGCTTCTACTTTAGTGATAGTCTGGTTCATAGTAGTATGAAACTGGACTCTTATTGCAAGAATACTTACATGTCATCAAAACGCAGCTTTGCGTCCTGGTTAACTCCGCTCCTATATCTATTTGTCGAGTTCTTCGTTTGTCCGTATCCTTACCAAAACTCCAGTTTATCCCGTGAGATTGTGCTTTTTTTAGTCACCCAGAAACATGTATCAGTGCCAGATGGCGAAGCAGACCATGGGCCACTCCTCCTATACTTGGCGTCACCGCGCAGACCCCAAGGCCTACCGACTCATTACACCTCAGAGTCCCCTTGTTCGGACTAAGACCTATGTCAAATACGATGTCGATCACTACCCTCTGGGATTCAACGCGGTGGTTGCCGTCATGTCTTACACTGCAAGTTGCCTTATTATGCACTTTGAAAATAATCTTTCTCTTCTTATGCGGACTGTATGTCGGCCGACCTCGTAACGTTTGTTACTTCTAAAAATGCCATGATTTCGCCAGTTGGAGGTTTTCTTTTCCAGCCGCGGATACCGAATAGTAAGCTCTGCACAACCGTCTTGACAGCTTACCGGTCTCTATGTGATTATATTTAAACTGGCCACCCTGTTGTTGCTGATAGTGCAAAGGCGACATGGAGTCTAGCGCCAGACAGGGTCCTCAAACCAATTTAACCATTTGTATTGAAGAGTTTGGGATAGTCTCCCCTGTTGTCTCAGTGTCCTAATGGTCACGAGGTCTTTGTCTTTAAGTCACGTGGCACATTCCTCTAAGCTATGAGGACAAAGTCATACAGTGCTCATGAAACGGATGTGGACTATGCTCCATTCTTTACAAGCCACAGATAAGATGCTTCATTAATGGACATTAAGAACTTTTTAAAACCCCAAGACACCCCTTTTTCAAGTATAACATTTGAAGAGGACGTAATTGGCCGCGAAATAGGTACAAGAAAGAGTATGTTTTGCATGTTTTATAGAATTTATGTTTTACTTTATAAGGAAAGCCAAAGTAAATAGTAAAAAAGTCGTACTACTTAACTGGTCATTTTTATAGTGTACTTGTTTACACGCGGTCGGAAGAAAGCTCACGGAAGCCCGCATCCTGACGTGATTTAGATATTTTGGAGGCAAAATTAGCATATGTAGGCCCACTTATATACCCCTATTCCCAGCATTTTTGTCCTGCAAAAACGGTGGTTATAGAGTTTTGGTTGGGTGGGAAAATATGATAGGCAGAGAAGGGAATTTTTAGAAGTGCAAAGTGAAAAAATGTAGTCGAAGTTGCTTTCCGCGGCTGCTGGGAGTAAGTTATTCCGCATGTAAATTGAAGGTGTGCGCGGCGCTTCGCGCCGCGGAC